AAATATCCCAGATAATGTTATATCCTGTTATATCACCGTTCCCCGATATCTGTTCTGATAAAAATGGTCATGCTTCATCTCAGTTCCGGTGCAAACTTATCGCAGTGTCGAGACAAAACACAGTTGAAACCACTAAGATTTTCACCTAAAGCTCATTTTAGTCGCGAGAAACGGAACACTTAAACCTTATTAATGAGTTTATCTGCTTCTATCTTTGACAATCACGTACAGACATTGAGCATTTCAGTCACTGCCACTCAAAAGACACGTATCCTATGGCTGAACAAGATAGCTGTTCACCAACGAGTCAGTTAGAGCGGAAGAAAAAGAACACTAAAACTGTATCATTTTCCCGGGCTAAGACAAGTTAGGTTATCAGACTCTATCTTTGACTGTCACGTATAGGCATGAAGTATTTTGATACGACTTTTCCCCATGAGACATACTGCTAACATAGTTGACAGTACATCAAATAAAACGTTAATTCCATGACTGTGGATCTCAACTTTATTAGAGTCACGTAAAGTAAACAATGAGAATATTATCTTTTGAGCTGAAGAGGATAGCTTGGTGAGACAAAAATGTTTCTGAAAGCCACGTGATCAGTTCGCCTTTTATTCATAAAGTTTGGAAAAGTCTGTGGCGTCTGTTGATACTTTTCGTTCTGCTAAAACTCCCCGCCAAAGTTGTTCTTAATCTCGTGGACTTAAAAATGGAGTTAACCATGAAACATTACTCTTATATCTTCAGTTTCCTCTCGCGTGACAAGTGTAGACTTTACCCTGTGTGCTATTCCCAGCTTTTCCAATCCTCCTGAGTTCTCCGGCCCACAGTGATTTTTGCCAGCATCGAGATAACCTTTTGAGTGCTTAAACGGGACTAAGAAACTTCAATGGCGCCAATGAATGAGATAAGAGTAGGCGGAAAGAGCCACCGCTGATGGGATGTTTGCCGGCTTTATCCGGTACGTGCCAACATATACTAACTCGGCCGATAACAAATACCCTGAAATTATCGTTTGCTAGGGTAGGAAAACACAAAAAAAGTCGATG